AGAGTCAGAACCACAGAAACGGCAGGCCTGTCACTGACATCCACATCAGCTCAAGCAGAGGGCCCAGAAAGGGGCCAGCCAAGGCCCCAACACTACATCCCAGAGTACAGCAAGCTGATGTGCTCAGCCACCAGCTGGGTGTCCTGTCTCAGTCACCAGAACGGACTGTGGCCTTTCCTATCAGCCCCAGAAACCCACTTGCAGAATCTGTTTCATCCCCAGGAGAGACTCAGACAGCAATTGAGGACAGATCACCCACCGAGAAATGAAATACTTTCTTTGGATTTCTTAGCCAGAAGAGCAGAAGGCAGAGAATGTCTTAATGATCAAAAGAGGGCCTGGAGAGATGGCTCAGCAATGAAGAGCCCTGGCTGCTCTTGCAGAGGGCCTGGGTTTGATCAGCAACCGAACGGCAGCTCACAGCATTTGGAACTCCAGTTTTAGGAGATCTGATGTCCTTTTCTGTTCTCACCGGGCACTGTATGCACATAGTATACACACACACACACACACACACACAGGCAAAGCACTCATAAATATAAAATAGTTCTTTAAAAATAAAAAGGAAGTAATAACAGGCTATGGTTATTCACACGGCTACATTTTCATTTTAAAACCACAGTGAAATAGAGGCATTTTCCGAAATACTAAATTTGAGGTTTCCTTTTTTATTTATTTATTTATTTTTTTGTTTGTTTGTTTGTTTTAGAGACAGGGTTTCTCTGCATAGCCTTGGCTGTTTGGGACTCTCTTTGTAGACAAGGTTGGCCTTAAACTCACAGGGATCCGCCTGCCTCTGCCTCCCTGAGTGCTGGGGTTAAATGATGCACCGCAGAGCCCTCCTGAAATTTAGTTTTCACCATAAGAACTTCAGAACCGGTTTGTTCACACTGAAGGAACCCTGGGTGGAATCATCAAGATCAGAACCATAAACTGAGCAGGGGGTAGTCCGGGGAGATGGCTCCACCCAGAAAGCACCTACTGTGCGAGTACAAGGACCCGAGTTAGATCTTCAAAACTCACGTTTTAAAAATTTTAGGGCACTGAGGAGTCAGAGCCAGGTAGATCCTAGTGCTTGCTGGGGCCACTGGACTAGCCTACTTGGCAAACTCTGGGCCAGTGAGAGATCCTGTCTCAAAAAAGTGAGGTGGAGAGTGAGAGTTTTCAGTTTGAGGCTCAAGGGGACACGGAGGCTGACTGCCGTTTGGGGTAAGAAATTTGCTAGAAGAGTCATTAACACCAGACAGACAAATAGACAGACAGCAGTGGGGGCAGGGCTCTGCTGAAAGTTCGGGCTCACATGGCTGGGGGGGGGGGGGCTTCTAACCAGTTTCGGAGGAAAGGGAGTTTCTAGGTGACACAATTGATGAGCGGTCCCCAGTTCACCCTGCAGACTGCGTGCGAGTGTGAATCAGCCATGAGCATGGGGCGGGGCGAAGGTTACAGTAGCTCTAGAAATTAGTGTGACAGACTGCCACTGTCCAACTGAAAGGGAGGAGCTTTACAGAACCAGATGGCCCTGGCTGACAGACAACTAATGTTGACTTCTGGCATTGACACATGTAGGCTCACACGCCCGCACGCACACATACACCCACAGAGGGAAAAAAAAAAAAAAAAAAAGGAAATGAAGAAGAATAATTTTATGATCTTAGCAAGATCTAATGGATCCTAAAACAATACAAAAACATAAAGGAAAAGGCCTGGAAGTGTGATCCAGTGGCAGAACACGGGCCTGAGTTCATCCGTAAGGGACTAGGGGTGTGGCTCAGTGGTAAAGCACTGTCTTAGGATACACAAGGTTTGGGGTTCCATTCTAAGCAACTCAATGTGTGCATTGGGGGGTAGGGAGTGGGTCTATTGAGCAGGGCTAACTTCTGAGTCAAGAAGGCGGATGCAGTGACCCGAATCCGTAGTCCTGACACTGTGGAAGCTCACAGTTAGTCTGAAGGAGGCAGAGCATCAGAAGGGATAGGAGAGACTCAGAATCAACTTGGTGGAAGGAGAAACCAGCTCCCGAGAGTTGTCCTCTGACCTCCACACATGCTGTGGCACACGCTCGACCCACACTCACACACGTCACACACACCCAAATAAGTCTTGAAAGGCAAAGAAAAAGGAAGGGTAGGTTAATAAAATCAATTTCATTAAAATGAAATTCATGCTTCAGAGACATTGTAAAGAGGGAAACCAAGGGAGGCCTGTGGCTTTTACACGCATTCGCTGGACCAAAATGAGTGCATCCAACTTACAGGGTGTGCATGAGCCATCAGAAACAGCAAACAGCATGAGGAGGAGGAGGAGGAACTGTCTGGATTGTTTAGAAGAGGGACTCCAGAGTGAACTCACCACTTGGCCTAGACGGTGACCAGGGAAGGGCAAGCCAAAGCCACTAATGGCCCCTTAGCCCCACACTTGAGCCATGCCTATTTCACCACTAATCTGGGTGCCGATGATGGTAACTGCTGAATCTTTCAAGAGGCAAGGTCTACTTGCTAGGCACAAGAGCTGAGAAGACAGGAACCCCAAACCTCAGATCCAACTCCCTGAGATCGGGATTGGAGAATTTATTGAGCAAAGAAGCAGGTGGTTCGAGAATGGGGCAGGGCAAATAAAGGGGAAGGCCTCGTGGGTTCATGGGCCACGAGCTCAAAATTTTTAGCGCTCTGAAAACGTGGTCTCTTTTCTGTCACCTGTGGGGTCCCAGTGAAGGGCCAGTGGCTTCAACAATCACTGAATACTAACCCAGGCACTCACTCACCATGATTCCCTACCAGGAGGTGTTGCCTACATCAGGGGCTGTGAAGTAGTGACATATAGCTCAGCTGTGTGACTGCCAAATTTGATGATTTTCCTCCATTGATTGGTAAATGTGTGTATGCATGCAGGTCAGAAGACAACTTGTAGACGTCAACTCCCTCCTTCCATCATGTGTGTCCTGGGGATTGAACTCAGGCTGTCAGGCTTAGCAGCAAGCATCTTTGTTGTCTGAACCACCTCGTTAGCCCCAAAGGTGGTGACTTCAAACGCCAGTGAAAAGCAAGTGATTGAAAACCAGTGGGCTTGTGGCTTTAATTATGTGACTCTTTAGTTTCAAGATGGCCAATGATGTCACTCTGATGTGGGTGACAAATGTGGAAATTCGGAGCTCCCAGAGGCTCCTCCTGCTGTCTCAGAGCTGGTGCCTTCAATGAATACTGTGTCTCTCACCCATCACTGCTCACCCCATGACCCTGCTGCCCTGGCTGTGTGCCCTGGGCCATACACGGAGCACTTGATGCTGTTTTCCAGCTGGGCTCTAGCAATCGGAGACAACAGGACGAGATAGTATTTGTATACGGCAGAAGACACTCCTTGGCCTGAGCTAGCCTAGTGGGCTCCCAGACAGGAAGATCTGACCACTAAGTTACAGCCATATGGGACTCTGCCAGGAGGAAGTGACCCATTTGAAAACAGTCTGCGTGGAAATCACATTAGAAGCCTAAGAGTAAACTGAGTGACCCAGGAAAGGTTGAGAAGCAGCCTTGGGCACAGGTGTGAATGGTGTATATTTGTGTGTGTGTGTGTGTTTGTGTGTGTGTGAGAGAGAGAGAGAGAGAGAGAGAGAGAGAGAGAGAGAGAAAGAGAGACAGAGGGACAGAGAAAAGAGAAACAGAGAGACTGGCCTGGCCCAGAAGAGATCTTAGGCAAAGGAAAACTCTTGTCTCATAGCAGAGCCAAGGCCTAGCAGCATCATGGTGACCTCAGAAATGTGCCTGGATGCTTGTGCCTCCTCTCTGGGGGCCTTTGCCTGGAAAGAGAGTCCTCAGAGTAGCTGCTCTCCTCACGGACCCTGCTGTCACTGTGGGCATCTGTCCTAGCACTGAGCTGCTGCGTCTTGGAGGTGTGGCCAGGACAGTTTCCAAAGCCTGCTTCCTAAGAGGGTTTCCTTATAAGGCAGACATTTTGAGGTGTGTACTCTCGAGGTGCCTGTATACCTGCGTGGGTGATCCATGTGTGCTCATGGGCATATATACCTGTGAAGCTTCCCCGAGCTCCCGAAGGAGGCTGAGCTAGTGTCGCTGCATTCATGTCACCTTGGAAGGACATAACCCACAGCAGAAAGATACGCATGCCAGGCTGTTACCCAGGACATTGCAATTCTTCCAATGCAGTTTATTTTTAGAAGACAGACACCGGAGAACTAGAGCATCTTTTGGTTTGTTCTAACAAGGCCTTTGCCCCAACCCCCTCTTTGCCTTTTGGTGTTTTGAGATGTGGCCTCACATAGTTGACCTTGGCATTACATGCATTATCCTGCTGTTTTAGCCTCCTGAGTGCTGTGATGGTCAGTGTGACTCGCTACGCCTGGTTTATGGGGTGCTGGGGACGGAACCCAGGGCTTTGTGAACGTGAAGCTAACCCTCTACCAGCTGAGCTACAGCCCCAGCCAATTTCCCTTCTAATGGAGAAGGGGATCTTCATTATCTCCACAGAATGAAGGTGGTTTTTACCAAAGTAGTTCAGGAAATGGGCTGACTTTGAAAAATATTCATCCTCCAACAGCTTTTAAATTTAAAAAAATGATTTATTTTTATGCATATGAATATTGTGACTGCATGTATGTCTCTGTGCATGCCTGGTCCCAAGGAGGCCAGAACAGGGCAATGGAATCCCCAGGAGTTACAGGTGGCTGTGGGCTGTCGTGTGGGTGCTGGGCATCAAGCCTGTGTCCTCTGGAAGAGCTTTTAACGGCTGAGCCATCTCTCCAGCCTCCTCAACGGATTTTTAAAAACCCCAATATTGAGCCTTGAGTCCCTCGGTATTTCATAGGCTAGCTGAATTTCCTTTCTCTGCTGCTCAGAGGGAGACCCTGGGGCCCTGGGTCAATGCTGCCAGCTTAAGGGCTTCAGAGAAGAGGCAGAGCCCAAGGGGATACAGGAGGGTGGCCTCAGGGAACAGGAAGCGCTTGAAGGTTGTCCCTCTTGGAAGTCTATGCAGAACAGAAAGAAAGAGAGGCAGAGAGTCACTTCTTCATATATTGTGGACATTTTATCCCTTGTTCACGACAATATAATAAACAAGTATGACTCGTATGCATTTTACCTGGAAAGTACCACCAAGCAGGAATGCCACGCTGCCTGAGGGATCTTTCACATGCTGTGGACAGAGAGCCTTGCATAGCAGTCGACACAGCCAGGCGGCAGATCCAGGCCAGGGAAGTATAGCTTAGCTCCCAGACCTGGATGTCTTCCTTAGAGCACAGACTCCCATCCTTACCACAGAAAGCTTGTGAATAGCAAACTTGTAAAAAGAAGTGTACAAAAGGAAACATCCGTGTAACACAGTTGCACCCTGTAGACAAAGCATCCCTTTGAGACTGCCCACAGTCAGATATGGCAATTTCTCAGCAATAGGAAAAGAAGCCCAGATGTCCGCCCGCCCACGAAGCATTCGATCATTAAAGTCCATGATCTGTGTGGCTTCCAGTAAGAGCCGTTCCTGTAGTTCTAGGACTCGCTGGTACAGAAGCCAGGAGGTACAGGCCTTGAGGCAAGTCATGTTTGATTGTCACGACGTTACTACTCTGAGACAATAAATACAAGTAGAGCAGCTCGGCTCTTCATTGAATCAAGTAACTCCAGTTTAATAGAATACAATTTAGTGCATTTCAGGTTCTCCTTCACAGTTCCGCTTCTGTCCCAACACTTTTGCAACAGAAAGAAATCAGTAAGCTAAGGAAAAAAAGAAAACTCCAGGTGACCTGTCTGTACAAAGTTCACAGTTTCACAGGTCGCTTGCATGTGAAGAAACCATGCCACCATCTCCAGTGGCTCCTCAGAGTGCTCTGGTTGGTTTGTTTTTGGCGTGGTTTCTAAGAGTACCACCGTTCCCCTGAATGAACTGATTCCAAAAGCCTGTAATAAACTTTGATTCATGTGTCCACCCTGTCAGCCAAGCAGATCACCCGGAGCCGGAACCTGCATTTTCAAATCCTGGCCCCTGTAATACAGGGATCTGGGACCTGAGTGTCAGCACCCACCTGACAGCCCTGTTGGCAAGGCTCTGGGACAAGGCCCGAGGCAGGTCAGGGGTGCCCTCACCCAGGCTCAGGTACCTTTGGTTTGGGGCTGGCCCATAGGCCAGAGATGTTTCTAGAAAGAAGGCAGCAGGCAGCAGGTGTGCCATTCTAGCCCTGAGCCTCATGACACTGCAGAGGGCTAGAAGCCACACCAAATGGCTAGCACTAAGTCACATGCATACCTAGTGGTTGGTCTATGTGTGGGACAAACAACTGAGGTGCAAGTCATCAGGGCCGGAAAGGCTACCTTTGGCTTGTCCTATAAGGTCTCAGGCAGAGACAGGGCAACATGCAGGAAGAGCCACTTAATTCTTCATCCTGAACCAGACACAAATTGGTAGTCACGGTGGGTGTGGATGCTCTCCTGACATCTCTTGAACTGCTCGTGAGTGTATCCCACTGCTGGGTCTAAACCCTGACTTTTCCTCAGGTGGTATGAAGGCTGGACTAGATCAGAGGCAGAAAACATCATCAGGGCAAGGTGCACAAGATGGGAGGGAGGGGCAGTCAAGGCATCTGTGAAGACACCTGCCTTGTTCCTACAAGAACATGTTGTTACATTGTTGCCAAGTATGTTACCAAGCAGCCTGCATATTTAGAGCTCATCTCTGTTTCCTGAGGACAGGGCTTACAGCCTCATGGGTACAGTCACCAAATACCCAGCAGGTGGCCTCGTCCTATGGGTTAAAGGACTTGTCAAAAGCAGAGTGTCCCTCACCTCTGAACTGCCCACATTCTGACCACTTAGCCTTCCTAGCTTGCTGCTCCTGCTTCTTGCAGGGTGGTCACTGATTGGGATGCTAGCACAAAGCCCTCAGAGAGGTGAGGAGGGAAGGGAAGAGGGAGGGAGGGAGGAAGAGAGAGAGAGCAACACAGCCCCTTAGATGCTCTTTGTGGGCACCACGAAAAGCCGCAGGCAGTCAGGAGAATGGCAGCCACTGCCGAAGTCCAACACAGCTTCAGAGAGGCCTGCATGAGGTATGTGGGTGTGGCCAGGGACCAGGGGTAGGAGACCACCTGGACAGGGCAAGGGTTTTTCAGGGAGATGACAGGCACCCTCAAATATCTGGCTCTTGGGCGTTGAATGGTAAGGAGACATGTCCCAGTCTGAGCTGAACTTGTGGGGGCCCCTCTACTGGGGAACCTGAAGCAGAGCCAGTTTAGCAGTCCAGGCCCTTCCTCCCGAGGCCACCAACCAACCACTCCAGTTTCAGAATGCCTCTGGCTCCTGAGCCCACTGCTTCCAGCATGGGCTCCCTAAAGACTAGCAAGCTGCTTCAGCAGAACCTTCCTCTGAATCTGAGCATGACATCAGCCATGCCTATCAGTAGTAGGGTGTGAAGGAAAAAGAGAAAAAGCATTATTCTGAGATTTATTAATTTAATAGAAAAATCAAAGGGGCTCTCCTCCCCCTTTCCTTCTGAAGCAAATGAAAAGCAAAATCTGACCCCACCCCACCCCCAAAAAACCCCAAAAACCCACACCCACATTCCTAGTGTAGTTTTTATTGCTCTCAGAAGCACTGTATTAGATGGTGAAGCAGGGGGAGGTCTAGGAGGGCAAAGCCTGCAGCTTGGATTCCCCAAATCATTCACAGACAGAACAGTCAGCTGACCTCAAAGGCTCAGGGTTTCTGTGGGAAGCCAGAGGCATTAGTGAAGTGGTAGAGGCCTGAGCTTGCTTTTCCCAGGCCAGGTGCATGCAATGGCAGGGCCCACTGGCCTGTTTCCTTCTGGTTTGTGAGGGGACGGTGAATGGGGGAAGACAGAGACCTTAAGCAGACAGAAAGGCAGAAAGAAAACCCACCAGGGAGGGAGCTGGCCCTCAGAAGTGCCCAAGATGGCTCACAGTTGGTAAAGGCCAGGGAAGGCAAGCCTTCAGCTGGAGGGGAAGAGACTCAGGGTCTCAGTTTGCCTGACTCAACCCTTCACCCTTACAAGCAGCCATGTGTCTTGCTGTCACCCAGGAGCGACAGGAGTGGTCCTCCACTGTGCGCGGACCTCAGAGGCCAGTAGCATCTTCTGTAAATTGGGCATGTTGCCTCATGAGGTCCCCATCACCAGGGACCATGCAGGCAGACCCGGATCTGCTCTCAGGCTTCTCCAGGCCTCCTTCTTCCAGTGTACCCTACGAATCTTCTCTGCCTTTACTCTGAACTCTGGTTGCAGGATGCCAGATAAAATACCCGATTTTTCCTTGTTAGAAAACATGAAATGACTTTAAGAGAGCCAGTGTAGGTTCCAGACAGAAGGTAAAAGTATATGGTGGTATTTCCTCAGGACCTAGGTCTCCCAGAAACCAGGCAGGCCTTCCTGCACTGAGTGAGAAGGAAAATGCGCCTCCAGAGCCAGCCGAGGGGACCCTGGCAAGGCACTAAGTGCAGGCAGAGGACCCCTGTTCTCTGCCAGGACAGCCTATGTCACTGAGGTGGTATGGGGCAACAGTGGGTATGGTGGCCAGCCGTGACACCTGCCTGGACAGAGGCAGAATAGGAGGAGGACAGGGAGAAGCTGCGAGCCAGCCACAGAACAACGTGTAAAAAGAAATTCTAATGCTAACCAGCACTAAAGGTGTCTGACTGAGAATAAGGAGGCCTGATGGTGACACCACCTCCTGAAGACTGGTCCAGGGGAGTCCCCTGGGCTGGAACTCCCCCCTCCATCCCCAGGCACCATGGCTCTGAGGTGTGGGGCCCGAGTGGTCTTCCCATCTGGCCCTGCGCAGGACCACGGCCTGCTGGCTACAGAGGAAGAGCGGGACCATGGAGCTGTATGAAGTCAAGGATTCCACATTCTGCAGAGTTCTCGGGCGTTCGCTTTAAAGAGACTTAAGGTGCTTAGGCCCGGCCCGCAGAGAGGCAGTGCCAATGGTGCTGCAGAGGATGGAGGGGTGGTCTTCAGCCCCCAGGGGGGGCAAAGGGGCCAGATCTACATTCACTGTGTGCTTATCTCTAAGAAGACTTCCTCCCCCCCGGGCTAGAAGCCAAGGTGCCAAGCAGGGCAGGACAAATGAGCTCCACAGGACCAGGATCCAGCTGACCTGCCCCTATGAGGACAGTGGCACCCATGAAGAGCCAGTGTTCTGGGTGCAGGGAGGGCACAAGGTTGAGGCCAGATTAAGTTCCCTAAATAACTGAAAAGAAACAAAAGCCTCATTCTACGTTTAAGAAGGGAGAGCAGCCAAGGCTGCCTCTTGGAGGTGGAGTTCTGGGGAGCCCACGGTCCCACCACCTCCCCCAAGCCCGCCTCTGTCCCCGCAGAGGGCCGATGGGACCCTGCCAGTGCTGGCTGAGCATCTTCACCTGGCAGGCTGAGTTCTTTGCTCTTGGCTCAAGTTTTGTTAATATTAGTCACCAGTTAATAAGAAAAATAGTCTCTAAGTGTCTCTTTCCCTCGCTCTTGTGTGTTCTGTTTTTAATTGAGTTAATTGGATACCGCGTCAGGTTATGGGTGTTCAATCACAGCATTAATTATTCCTTTTTCTTAAGCTCTTGGTTGCCATAGCTGGAGCCTTTTTCTATCTCAGTCACTCCTATAAGTCTTCGTACTCCGAAGGAAGCTTTAAAGACAAGAGAGAGAAGAGGTCAGAGGTTAACCTCACAAAGGTACTCTCCCTGGCTTTGTACCCCCTCACAATATGTGGCCACTCTAGTATGGGAAACCCCCCTAGAGTGAAAGGAGGACACAGCCCCCCCATGGCCCTATGTTCAGGGGCCAGGGCCACTCAGTTCCCTGACCCAAGCTTCTGTCTCCCAGGGCCACCATGATGAGCCATCAGTCCTGAGCTAGATGGTGGCCCAGTGACCCCAGCATGTGAGCTGTGCACATCTGTGCTTTTTACCTGCTCCCACAAACCCCAGGAATGTCAGGATGAGGAGTGGGGATCCACTGGCAAAGACGCCCAGGACGAAGCTGAAGAGGGGGGAGAGGAGGATGGTGGCCCAGCACAGGAAGTTCAGCAGGGTCCATGGCCTTCGGGGGGGCTTGATCTGCTCCCCTGGGAACACACCATTCTGCTTGTACATCTCTTGCAGGGCATCCTGATAGTGAAGGGGAGAAGAGGAAGTTGAGATCGCCACGTGTGACTCTGAGTCAGGAGAAAACTCAGCAATAAAAGCCACTCGGCCAAGACACTGGCCACAGAATAAAGCAGACAATGGCCCAGCATAATTCAGTTGCTTGTATAAAAGGCATGTGATCTGGACCCAGAAAAGGAGTTAGCTAGGAAATGGCCAACTAAGCAAGCAAAGCTGCCAGTAGTCATGAGTGGCATATGGCTGGCTGGTGACCCCAATACTTATCAAAAAAGCAGGCAAGGGATAATAGCAAGGACCTGCTTGGGTCCTGGGCCTGGCCTCAGCCCACACCCCAACAAGTCATGTGTATGCCCAAAAGTCCTTTCACCTCTCCTGGCCATGGCATCCAGGGACCAAACTCAAGACATCAGACTTCAGGGCAAGCTCTTTCACCCAGGAAGCCATCTTGCTGATCCCACATCATTCCTATTTTGTTTTTCTCCTCCTCTTCCTCCATCCTCTTTTTTCACCTTCAACCTTCTTTGATACAAGATCCCTGGCAACCCAGGTTGGTGTAGAACTCTTCATGTCTATACTTGATGTTGGCCTTGAACTTCTGATCCTCCTAAAGGGCTAGGATGCTAGAATTATAGACATGAACTACCACTGGCTACATTTTCTTGAGAGGTGTACTATTCCAGGTGTATGGGTATTTCTCTACGACCTATCTAAAAATTTAATTGACATAATTGTACATGTTTATGAATCACAGTTTCTCTCACACATGCTCATTCACACATACACACACGCATGCTCTGCACACACACTATGTAAAGAACAGACTGGCAGCTCACTACTTTAGCCATTCTGCCATTTTTGTGTTGAGATTGATTAGTCTTCTCCACTGAAAAATTTGAAATACATAGTGCTGCATGGTTGCCATCAGCCATAGTGAACAACCCTAACACCCCTGAGCCATAGGGTACCATGCCTGTTAGCATCCTCTGCCCATGATCCCACCCTCCCAGCCTCTGGGCTCTGCTCTTCTACCCTTTGGCTTCCATCTGTAAGAGAGAGTGTGTGCTCTGGCCTCCTGTCCCTGGTATCCCTTCACTTCCATCCAGGCTGCTTCAAGTGGCATGAGTTTGTTGCGTTAGCCAGTGTTTATACACATCACAGTTTCCTTGTTTGTTTGTTTATTTTTAAGAGGAGGTTTTTCTGTGTAGCCCTGGCTGTCCTGAAACTTGCTCTGTAGACCAAGCTGGCCTTGAACTTCACAGAGATCCGACAGCCCGGGCCTCCCCAGTGCCGAGATTAAAGGCGTGGGCCACCGCCATTGCGTCATCATAGTTTCTTCATCCATCAGTGAAAAGGAGATAGAGGTGAATTCTGCAGTTTTGGCTCCCATGGCCAGCCCTGAAGTCATGCTGGCCACACGCGTCTTCAACAGGGCTTCAGGGTCTGATGCAAGTTCAGCTCCCAGGGTTTCTTTGGTTTTGCCTGAATTTCTCTTTCAGCTGTTTCATTTTTGCTATATGCAAATGATATTGGTTTTTGGACACTGGTTCTGTATCCTACAACTTTAGGGAATTTCCCAGTTCTAACATGTTAACAGTTTTGACGTGTTTCTAAATATAAGGTCATGAGGTTTGCAAACGGGGATCCAACTAGTGTCCTTTCCAGTCTAGACACCCTCATCTTCTCTTGCTTTATGGCTCTGCTAAGGCTTCTAGTGCTGTGCTGAAGAAGGATGACTAGGCAGACAGAGATATGTTCTGGACCCCAGAAGAAACCCTTTCCTCAGGATGACAGGTCCGTGAGTCTGCGGCACGTGGCCTAAGCTGTGTGGGGTAGGAACCTTCTACACCTACTCTGTTGGGCGACTGTCATAAGGGTGTGGCAAAGTAGATGATGTACTTTACCCAGGTTTCTAAAGAGATGGGCAGGAAGCCAGCCATACCTGGCCATGATTTTCATTTCCTGTTTGTTGGTTGTGTTGCTTGCTTTATTCTGTTACCACCAATTTCACCACTTTGTTAATCAGTATTGACCAGAGGTTTTGGTTTTCTTTCTTTCTATTTTTATTTTTTAAAGACAGGATTTCCCTATGTCATCCTGGCTGTCCTAGAATGTTGGCTTTGAACCTCAAACTCAGAGTTCTGCCTGCCTCTGCCTCTTGGGTGCTGGGATCAAGGGTGTGCCCCACTACACGTGGCACTTCCTTTTATAATTTATTTATATATTTTTATTTTATGTGCATTGGTGTTTTGCCTGCATGTATGTCTATGTGAGTGTGTTGGAATCCCTGGAATTTGAGTTACAGACAGTTGTAAGCTGCCATGTGGGTGCTGGGAATTGAACCTGGGTCCTCTGGAAGAGCAGTCACTGTTTTTAACTGCTGAGCCTCTCTCTAGCCCCTTTATTAATATTCTTGAGGAAAGCATATGATGTGCAGAAGGGACCTGATGCAAGGCAAGCACATGGCTCACAGCATGGATGTGCTGGCAGGCTGGCTTGTTCTCCACTCGCCCTAAGGTCTTTCCGCTGCCTTTTTCATTCTTTTGCAGGTTTTCTTGCTTTCCACTTTCATCCTTACACACTCAATTCTGTCTGCGTCTGCTATTTTTCAAGTTCCTCTGAGGGCTTTGGTTGTTGTGTCCGGCATTGCGAAGGGTTTGTTCTCTTGGGCATTTTGTGTTGTGGTAGCCTGCAGCTGGCTTTCAGCTGAGTCCCATCTGTGTAAACCTTGAGGTGTCTGCCTGTGGGGTCACCTCCCTGCAGCTGCGCACGGGTTTCCCTTGGCAGCCCGAGGAAACTGTCTGTGTAGCGTTTTCTATTCTAGTATCTCCATCTTCTGGAGCCGTGGAGGTGGGCCCGGGAGGCACTCTTCAGCAAGGAGGGCAAGGTAGACGGGGTCATGTCCAGCCTTCCCTAGTTGACTTCCTAGAAGGTCTGGCCTTGTGTGGGGCACGTGCCACCACCTGACTATCCTGAGTGGAGTCACATCTCACCATCTGACCCCATGAAGGCTTACACTCAAGATCGTGGGCAGGGGCAGCAAACACCAGCACCAGCACAGGCACCTCCCCCAGCTCCGCACGCCTAGCTCCCCTCCCCACTGAATCTCTGGAGCTCTCTTACTTCCTTGGCATTTCATGGTACTGGAAAGAACTTTGTTTGCTGCAGGCTTTTCTGGTCATCTGTTTCCAACTGTGCTAATGGACACACATTCCAAAGAAGTGGACATGGGGTAAACATGCATTGTGGAGTGGGAACTGGACATGTGAGTCTCAGAGGCACCCTCCGGTGTCTGCTGTGAGGACCCATGACAAAATACATTGTTGTAAATCTAGGGGTTACCCATGACATAACTCACTGTCATAAATCTAGGGGTTACCCACGATATAACTCACTGTCGTAAATCTGGGGTACCCACAACATAAGCGCACTGTCGTAAATCTGGGCAATGTCTGTTACACACTTAAACTTTCTTTTATATAAAAAAAGAACAAGATCACTTTCCCCTGGCAGGCCACAGGGGAAGACACACTCAGTCCTGACGCAACTTGATGAGCTAGGCTGGATTGGGGGAGAGGGAAAAGAGGAAGGGGAGGGCTGCAAGGGGAGGAGGGATGGGGCTATAACAAGGATGTAAAGTGAATTAAAGAAATTTAAAAAGGAAAAGGGATAGCAAATAAAGCCCTATAATCCATGAAATCAATGTTGCAAAGTATATACCAAAGATTATGCTAACAAACTGTAAAACGTAAGTTTGGTTATAGCAATTTTGTAATAATAAATTTAGGGAAGGGAAAATAAAATGAAAATCCCAATTTAAAAAAATAAAAAGAAGAAGAAGAGGGACTGGAGGGATGGCTCAGAGGTTAAGAGCACTGGCTGCTCTTCCAGAGGTCCTGAGTTCAATTCCCAGCAACCATGTATTGGCTCACAACCATCTGTAATGAGATATGGTGCCCTCTGCTGGCGTGCAGGCATATCTGCAGACAGAATACTAGAGATATAATAAACAAATCTTTCAGCATTCACTCTCAAGTATTAAGAGAAAGAGAAGACTCTAATGCAGGTGAGGACTAGCAGGGCATGGTGCCCAAAGGGGAACCCTGTGGCACCTTCCTTATGCTCCTTACCACCCCAACCTGCTTTGGAATTCGGACAGAGGCGAGCAAGAGCCTTTACCTTCTCCTGATACAGCTTGTGAAGCCACTGGGCTGCGCCGGTCTCATCTGATGGGATGTCTTCCAGGGGGAACCTCCTGTTGCATCAAGAAGATTAAGAGTAAAGCGGGTGAATGGACAGCATCTGCTCAAACAGGGCAGCCAGTGATACGCAGGAGGCTGCAGGAGGCTCTACCTATCTTACTTTCTGAAACAAGCGGATAGCAAATTAAGTTCTTGACAGTCATCTGACAACGCCGGAACCTTCTGGGCATGGCCAGGGTGCCCCCCAAACAGGGCTGAAAGATGCCTCTATGTCTGGGGACACTTGTGAGCCACTTGGCTGGCAGAGCAGGACTCAACTTCCCCACAGGGCGGTCGCAATGCCTTGGGTCTTCCTTTCCCAACACACTCACTGTTGGAGATGATCATGACCAGGTGTTTTGCGGTGTTTGATCTTGACTGTCACCTTCATTGGACTGAGAGAGACTAAGAGATGAGCAAAGCACACCACTGGGCATGTCTGTGAGGGCGTTTCCAGTTTCCAGACTGGGCTCTGGCCTGTATCCATTGCTGGATTTAAATTTTGAATAAACCACTGATAGGCTCCGTACCTGGAAGGTGGGGGCCGGCTGGAGTGTGCCTTTGAAGGGCATATATCGCCCCACTCCTGTCATTCTCTCTGCTTCCTGGCCACCATCATGGAAGCTGCTTGGTTCTGCCAAAATGCTCCCTGCCCATGACATTTGAATCTCACCTCAAGCCCACAAGGGAGCCAGGTGAGCATGTGTGGAACCCTGACACCAGCAGCTAAAGCACGCCCTTCAAGTTGTTGATGCAAAAGAGAGCCACATGAGGTGAGCTGAAGTTCCCGAAAAGGAGGTAGAGAGGAATGGAGCGATCAATAGAGGTAGAAGGGAGGGGAAAATGAAGGGATGACTAGAGGGGGAAGATGGGAGGAAGGAAGGGAGAAAGGCAGGCAGAGGAGAGGGAGTTAAAGACTCTCCAAGGGCAGATAACCAAGCTTAAAGGTCATGCAGAGTTGAAATGTTGCAGACCACAGCCAGATTATCTTAAATTATGTTTAGTCTCTTTGGAAGGCACCCATTGCCCACCCTGTGTCTGACATAACATCTTGGTGACTATCAAAATCTTACGTAGTCTTAGCAGACCTAAGCTCCCACTAATCCAAAGGCTCAGATGCCATCAGTAACACCTGAGGCCTACAGGAGAGGCCCCTTGCTGAAACCCACTTACCAGTGGCTCCTACCAATGCATTTCATCAGTACTTTATAACTTTCTTTGTTCTGCAATGATAACAATCTCACATAACTACTCCCACGGTGGGAAACGGCATTTTGAGAAACTTCAGTATGTGGTTTGGGGCCATGGCCCCTACTCACACCTGATCTAGAACAGTCTCTTATTCCTTTTGAGGTAAGGAAGGTTTCCATGTCAATAACTTTCTTTTGTTGGACATGGAAGGAAGGAAGGTCACTGCTTCAAGACAAAACTACATGTCCCAAATAAAAAAGGTCCTAAAATTTGAGAAAATTCATTACCATCTTACAATACATGTTTCCATGAGGACCCTGAGCTGTCTGCATCCCTAACTTGTGGGTCTGTTGGCAAACAAGCAGATGGCTGCCTAGCAACTACAGGTGGAGCCTTTTCCAATCACATGGCTCAGCCCCTGCTGTGCAAGTAAATCAGATTGAATAAAGAGGGTGTGACTGCACACAAAAGTTGGGCGCGGTGGCACACGCCTGTAATCCCAGCACTTGGGGAGGCAGAGGCAGATGGATCTCTGTGAGTTCGAGGCCAGTCTGGTCTACAGTGGTAACCCTGAAAAAAAAAAATAGAAATGCCATACCCATGCCCCTGCAGGTCACAGGGCAAGTCTGGGAGACTGAACTCTGACACACATCCTTGCCTTTGAGAAGCTCTGTCGGCAACAAGCAACACTGCTCCCAGAAGGAACGTCTCAAAATCTCATGGCTGAGAGAATGATGCTGAGCCATCTGTGAGGAAAGCCAGCTAGGACTCTTTCTAAATAAGACTTATTCTTAATAAAAACAAGCCTTGTGTCATAAACTTTATAAAAAGCTAGACCCAAGCCAGGTGTGGTAGTGCATGCCTTTAATTCTGTCATTGGGAGGCAGAGGCAGGAGGATCTCTGAGTTTGAGATTTCCTGGTCTACAAAGTGAGTTCCAGGACAACCAGAGCTACACAAAGCCTCCAGAAAAAGAAAAGAAAAGAAAAGAAAAGAAAAGAAAAGAAAAGAAAAGAAAAGAAAAGAAAGGAAAGGAAAAAGGAAAGGAAAGGAAAGGAAAGGAAAAGAAAAGAAAAGAAAAGAAAAGAAAGAAAAGAAAAGAAAAGAAAAGAAAAGAAAAGAAAGAGAAAAAAAATCCAAAATCAAGACAAAACGCAAGACCTAGAGCTGAGCATGGTGCACCCACATTTAATCCCAGCATTTGAGAGGCAGAGATGGGTTCATGACCATCCTGGTCTACATGTGAAGTTCCAGGCCAGCCAAGGCTCCCATCGAAGGAAAGAAAGCAAGCTAGACCTGGTGGCACGTCCCTGTGATGCCAGCGCTTGGGATGTGGCTGGAGCAAGAAGGTGAGGAGCTCCACGGCAGCCGAGCCAACAAGGCAGGCATCAGACTGGCAAGAGCAGCTCTCCCCAGGGGACCGAAGTACCTCCTGATGCCCAGGAGGTGGCCCACAGGCTCACAAGGACTACGATGATCTGTGCCGTCCTCATGAGGACATGTCCCAAGTCCCCCAGGGGACATCAGGAACCCTAGGCACTCTGCAGCCTCTGCACACTGTGCTTTCTGGTGTGTCCCACACCCTGGTGCTCCCTTCGTTTCCCTACTCCTGTGCTTTGAAACCATCACATGGGGACACTTCAACGCAAGCACAGAGAGTCTGTGATCACCAAGAGTACTGATGAATGCCTATTAGGAGGGTGGTGGGTCCGAGGTGGGTACAGTAGACTATTTAAAGTTCCCGAACAGCTAGCTTGCTTCGTTTGCCTGTGGGGAAACGGAACCATGAATAAGGTGGAAATCGCTATGATGACTATGGCTCTGCTAAGGGGCTTGGATGGCCACCGTGGTGGCCCACAGTTCTTCCTTCAAGAGAGAAAAGCCACGTGAAAGCCTGAGACAGACCCATGCATTTCTATGGAGGCCCCGAGGGGCTGTGGCTATGTGGGCCACGCCTAGGGACCTTTCCACCTCAGCACACCACAGCGCTGGGCACAGCACAGGCCGGAGACGACATGACTCCACAGAGCGCCACTGCTGGCTCATGGCCACGTCAAGGTGAGGGGCAACAGCATCTCAGTGGACAAAACATTTAAGTCTGTAGACGCTGGCCACTGTGTGGGGAGGATTTGCCACAGATGTCCCACATTCGGGAGGGAGGGTAGCGGGAGGGCACCTCCTACAGCCGGAGGACCACAAGGCGCAGACCCATTTCACGACTCTCCCTGGTGTGTGTGTGTGTGTGTGTGTGTGTGTGTGTGTGTGTGTGTGTGTG